GCGTCTTTTTTGTAAGGAAAAAATAGAGCAACTTTGCATAAATTTCAATGCTTCTTGATAGTTTCTCATGTTATTCATTGAGATGGTAAACTTCTTCACCCATAATTCAAAAAAATTAGTAAATCTATTTGGAATTTTGGCCTAATATAAACGTCGAAAAATTGAAAATTGGAGTTTCATATTTTTCAACGAAGATGTTGTATAGTTCAGTTACAACAATATCAGCTTCATGATACTTACAGGAAATTTGTATAACCAACTATTATATTGCTAAGTGAAACATCTAATCACATATTCTTGAAAATTCCCAGATCTGTATATTATATGATGGATAGCATAGGCTATCTATTTTATAAACATATTTTTATAAATACTTAACAGATATTACAAGTGTTAGTGGATATCGTTAGCGATTTATAGTTTGTAAAAAAACACATTTCCTAAGAACTTTTAAATTATTGTCATATGAAAAAATTTAACTATAATAAAAAAATTAAATTTTCATATTCAAAACTCATATATTACATGATATTATTAAATTTTTTTTCTAAGTAAGATTTTTTTTTGTTTTTTGTAACTGAAAATTATATTTATTATTTATTATTTAACCACATTAATTAACAGGTATACATCAGTTTTTTTAAATAAATTAATTATTTGTTACTCCATTATTAATTTTAGAAAATATTTTGTCAAAAATTGTATAATAATATATTTTTTTTAAATATTAATATCTAAATTTTAAGATATATTAATTTTTATGATAAGTACAATATTTTTTTATTGCAATATATATATTTTCACATTTCTTATTGATTTTTTTAAAATTATTTTTTTTATTTTTAATTTTTAATTTTTATAAAAAATTGACAATCTATTTTTAACTAGAACAATAAGCAAATATGCACAGAGTAATTAGATATGAATTATTTGAGAGAAGAAGCCACCCATTAGTGACACTACCTATTTTGAGTTCTTAAGTTTTAAGTAAAGTTAATTTTAGATTAAGATAGAAGGTCACGACACCATCTTCGCTTAAGCCGCCTAGGGGGATTACCTGGAATGGACAAGGTAGATAGTTTTTTATTAGAGGATTAGAATGAGAAGGAAGTTTTGAGTGAAATTTTTAGCATTTTGCTTCATCGAGTAATGTTGCTATTTTTAGATTATTATGGAGTGTAAGATTGGAAACAAAGGGAGGATCATTTGTTATTTTTCTTAGGGAGATGTTTTGAAAACTTTGAATTTTTGGTATGTTTGATTTTTATGCACTGCCCCAGAGCTGGAGCCCGTAGGTCCAGATTGGTTTTAGAAGAGCTTTATATATTATCAATTTGATGCTAAGATTAGTGTGTGTGTTTCTGTATAGCAGTGAGCTTAGTGTGCGCAAGCGATTTTTTAATTGTAACATTTTTAATTTTATGCGTGGGGCCCATGTTAGACGACGGTCTAATAGAAGTCCTAGGTATCTTACTGTTTGAAAAAAGGGATTATTCAAATAATAAATTATTAAACTTATAATTATGTATAATTTATTTTTTGTGGCATATTTATTGTTATGTGTTAAGGTTATAAATCAAAAATTTTAAATTATTCCAACAACCATTATTAAAAAGTGTTTCTTAATAAAAGTATTTTTCAGCTAAAACTATAAGATTTATTATATTGTAGTTATAACATTTGTAATCATAAAATTTATTTCCATTCGCATACAGGTAAATAACAGCAACTAATAGAAAAATGAAATTACACTGAAGACAATTATAAATGATATTTGTTAGTATTTTATATTGTGATGTAAATATCACAACATAAAAAATTGTTCGATGAAAAACCTGTTAAATTAAAAATAACTACCGATATTTAACAGTAAAATATTAAAGAAATAGATACATGTATATTTTCAAATTACACATTTTTATCCATTTTCATAAAAATTTTGTGATGGGTCGATGATAATTTTAGGACAAATAATTATCAGTTAATAGTTATCAAGTTATAAGCATTAATGTACATAGATTGAGTATGGAAAGCCAGTGGAGTATATGTAGAGTGTCATACAAGGTTTTGACACCTTTAAAAACTTTTGATCTATCGAATATTTTGCGTCACTTTTCTTTAACAAATAATTTTATATAGATTTGGACTATGTCAAATGTATATTTTGTAAGAAATTTGCTATAAAATGCCCATTTCGTAATAAAATATTAACAAATAAACATTTATTAAGAAAAAAAAATTTTAACTAAATAATAATAGGATTAAAAGCTGTAGTTTATTGTTAATAAACCAATTGTGTTGTCTATTTAATTTTAAAGAGATGAATTTAGCAATAAAAAGTAAAACTAAAATTAAAATATCTATGGTAACATTTTCAAAACTAAACAAGTTAACAATTTTTTTTATTAATATTATGATAAAAGAAACTCATTATATTACTAAATATAATTATTATTTATAATATAATGCGTGTTCATAATCTTTAATGTTTACACTAAATTATNAATATAATGCGTGTTCATAATCTTTTATGTTTACACTAAATTATGCTTAATTTTATACAAATAGAAAATTTTGTAAAAGTTATAGCTAATTTTTAAGTTCAAATAACGTAGGAGAACTATAATAATCATTACTGAATGAAAATATAGCGATTATATTATCATTCAATTCGGTCAACAAACGAAAAGATTGTTGAAGATTTTTAGTATACTCTTTTTACACGTTATTTAATTTTGGAAATACTATGTTATGTTTTTAAATTTTAACTTTGTTACATTAAAAGAACATAAATAATCTAACTTTTTTTCGACGTTGCAATGAACTTGAAGTTAACACGTTATTAAAGTAATTTAAGTATTTTTGTAGTATTTAAGTAGAAATTGAAAAGTTAGAATTCAAGTATCAAACTGTAAAATGATACATTTTATTATTTGTAGTAATATATGGTAATTTCGGATGTATTTCATAGTATCGTAAAAATGAATAAGTTAACTTTATAATTAAAGATAATATTTTAGTAATTTGGTTTAAATACTACGAACTCTATTGACAGGTGTATAAAATAAGAACGGTAAAGATTGTTACAAGTGTGCGGTATAGACTAAATTCAAAAACAATGTAAAGGTGCGTATCGATTATGAGCGGCAGCCGCGCGAGCAATTTTAACTTATCTTATTTTAGAGCGTGGCATGTTATCAAAGTTGGGTTGGTTTCCTAACTAAAACTTCTTTGCCTGTTCTATTTTACCGACATAATTTGGTTCGCCATGTTCGAGCGCAGCAACAAAAAAGTTGGCTCGCGTGGCTGACGCTAATAATCGATACGCACATTTAGAGTTTCATTTCAACTTATGGGTTTTTTTAATTTTAAATGTTATTAGGGGATACATTTTTGTAAATTTTTTACAATTACAAGTAATACATTAAATAATACGTATATGAAGTCCCTAAGTCCTAAAATGATATTAGTTTTTTAACTTTAAGATAAGTTAAAGTTTAATTTTTATAAAATTACATGTAATACATCGACATTTAAAAAATCTCTAATTATGACTATGATAATAATAAGACCACTGTCCTTATACGACTTTTTTAATTATTCACTGATAAATCTGGTAAATTATCTATAAATTATACAATACTATTTCTCTTTTTATCATCTTTTACGTTTTATAATCGATTATTATTTTGTAAATAGTGGAGATATCAAATTCTGAAATAACGAAATTTGACATTTTGTTATTATTTTTAGAAAAATAGGTAAGATACATGTAAAATTTATTATTTTATTTTTTTTTTTTGTGTCTGTTACTACTTTTATTAGCTCTCATCGAACGGATTTCTTTCAACGATACGTCAAAAGATCACAAATCGAATCTAGTCGAAGACATTACACTCAAAAATTAAAAAAAATTCCCTCGTTCCACGTAAATAGGAGAAACCTCCAAAAAAATTACAAATTTAATAATCGCTAATTTTCGAAATTTCTTTTACTTAAAAGTGTCATAACTTTTTTAAAAATAACTTAATCAATATATTTTTTTTATTTGGATGCATGATATCATTACCTTTCATTTGGTATATTTTTTTTTTATATCTGGCCCTTTACCTGCCCACANAATCAATATATTTTTTTTATTTGGATGCATGATATCATTACCTTTCATTTGGTATATTTTTTTTTTATTTCTGGCCCTTTACCTGCCCACAGGGGGGATTTAAAATGACAACTTTTTCACAAAAAATTAACTTTTTCAACTTAACTTTTGAAAATGATCCGGAAGGTCGACACTTTTATATATATATTAAATTAAAGCTTATGTAATATACTTAAATTAAAAAAAAAAAAAATTTGACCTCTGAACTTGTCTTCACGGCGAAAATGGCTACCGAATGCTATTTTCGTGTAAAAATTCTCGATTTTATTTTTTACATTTTGAACTTTATAATGTTATAACTTATTGAAAAGTGTATGGATCAACATCATTTTTTTATGAGAGATAATATTTTTTAATAATCCCTTTTTTATTCGACATACTTTATCTTAATCAGGATATTAATAAGAAACTAGCAGATCATGTAGCTTTTGGACTAATCCACTAATTTTTTAAAATTAAACACTATCTAAAGATTTGCCTCGAAGCGTTTTTTTTTTTGATAGTGATTTTAATCACTGTCAGATATCATTATAATTAATCCAACTATGCCACGTCACCACTGTGCCGCGACCCCCTTATGCTGGGTTTTTTTTTTGTGTCTATTATTCTGCTGCGTTAATACCTTGGCCCATCAAGGTATTAAAATGTTGAAACACATAATAATTTGTATAACTGAGTATTCAAATCAGCAGCAAATATGAAAATAAAAAAAAAAAGAATTCATATTTATAATTATTTATTATATATTTTATTGAGTTTATAAACCTTAAACAATTTTGTAGTTATGAAAACCAAGTGTTGTAAATTATTTTGAAGAATAATCATCTACCTCAACATCATCTCACTCATCCTCATCTGTGTCAAACTCATCTATATAACACAAGTCATCTAATAAAACTTCATTATTCATTGCATTACTAGATTCACCCTCGTCTATCTTATTATTTGGTGAATGGATCATATCATATACTACTTCTCTTTTATTCAATAACCATGCTGAAATAAAATAAAATAGTGTTAAGTTCAGTGAAAATATTAATTTAATATTTAATCTTCGAACCTTCATAATACAGATTTTCTACATCTTCTAAAGGTTTTAATACATGTTCTATTGTATCTCTATTCTTGATAACTGCTTCTATGACACTTGAGAAATTATCTTTAGATATGAATCCAGTTTTTGACGTATCTAGACTATGAAATCTTTTAAGGAAATTGTTGAAGAAACCCACNTTAATACATGTTCTATTGTATCTCTATTCTTGATAACTGCTTCTATGACACTTGAGAAATTATCTTTAGATATTAATCCAGTTTTTGACGTATCTAGACTATGAAATCTTTTAAGGAAATTGTTGAAGAAACCCACCATGATAAGTGGTATTTCGATATATTCATCAGTTAAAATTTGTACCAAATTTTTAAGGGTAATATATTCATTTCCTAAAAAAAAAAATATTATTTTAAACACAAACTAGAACAATAAAAATTATTTATGTATACTTGCATAATAAAATTTAGAATTTTATTCTTTTAACTAGTATAAAAATAAAAAAAATGATCTAACTAATGAAATGATTAGCCAATGAAAACATTTGAACGAGTATATTAAAGTTTGACAAATTAAATTCTTTAATTCATTATTAATTATTAAAGGTCTTATGTTGAAGTATTTTTTAAATAGATTTAATTTAAAGTTCAAGTTAACAATTTTTATTTTTAAATAGCTATAAAATGCCAAATAATTAACAATTGTATGAAATATTTTAATCGTATAATTTCATCATTTTATTTACTTTATAAATTGTTACATAACTTATATTATAATAAATAGTTAAAAGTATTTGGAGGAACAAATAATAAAATCTATTGTTTCTAGTCTTATTCTTGTTTTTTATAACATTTTGCTAATTATTTCATGTCGTCATCCAATTAAATTCTTTTATTTTGAAAGAAAATATAAAATGAATTGTAAAAAACCCAGCACAGTGAGGACGTGGCATAATTGGGTCCAGTATAGAAGATATCTGACAGTGATTAAAATCACTATCATAATAAACGCTTCGATGCAAATCTGTAGATAGTGTTTAATTAAAAAAAAAAAATTTATCAAAAAAGTAGGTCAAATGAGAGCTGAGAAAATAAATGATAGCTACAAAAAAGAAACCACATAGTAAAATAATATTAATATGAATTTCTTCTCACGAGAGGAGACTACAGTAATGGAATCCTTGATATTTATTGAAGTTATTGAATCTAAATGAGATAAAAATCGAAAATAAACATTTTTTGTTAACTCAAAAAGAATTTAAAAAAAATTCAGTGCCACAGTCGTGAAAGACCCAAGTGTTACCGTTTCATTCGTCACTTAATAAAAATGGAAATTTAGCTAGTTGAAATTTCAAAGTTATTTTTCTCGACTTCAAAGAAACAAAAAAATTTAAATATGATTATTTTTTTATACTATGTCATTTAGATTGATATAATATTTATGAAAATCAGTGTAATCCCCTTATAATAAAATAAAATACAAAACCTGGAATTTTAACACAATCATAGCATATTTTTAAATATGGTAGTTATTTTTACCATGTATTCTTCTAATAAGATATTTTAAAATATTCATAAAATACAAAACCTGGAATTTTAATAGAAAATAGCATATTTTTGAATACGGTAGCAAAAAAGCTATAGCATTTTTAAGTTGAAAATTTAAAATCGAAAATTTTAACACAAAAATAGCGTTTTTTGAACTACGGCAGCCGTTTACATGCAGAAGATAAATGTCAGGACAAATTTTTTTTTTCATTTTGTAGTACATAAAATAAGCTTTAATTTTATATATGTTTAAGGACGCAGTATTTCCGAAACATTTTCAAAAATTAAGTTGAAAAAGTTAGTTTTTGTAAAAAAGTTGCTATTTTAAATCACCCCTAATTTCTTATGTCTTATGAACTTTATTCTATGTCAATTAAATTATATAATATTCATGAAAGTCAATATATTCTCCTAATAAGATATTTTAAAATAAAAATAAAATACAAAACCTAGAATTTTAATAGAAAAATAGCATATTTTTGAATACGGTAGCCATTTGCGCATAGAAGATAGGTCGTCGGGACAAATTTTTTTTTTTCATTTTATAGCACATAAAATAAGCTTTAATTTTATATATGTTTAAAAGACGCAGTATTTCCGGAACATTTTCAAAAATTAAGTTGAAAAAGTTAGTTTTTGTAAAAAAGTTGCTATTTTAAATCCCCCCCCAGTGAGCAGGTTAAGTGTTAGATTTTCAAAAAAATGATATCAAACGAAAGGGAAATATCTAAGGTTTTAGTATAAAAAAAAGTTATGTTGATTTGTTTATTTTTGAAAAAGTTGTAGAAGTTTTAAGAAAAAAAGTGAAAAAAATGACAAAATTTACCGACTTTTAAATTTTTAATTTTTGTTGANTAAGAAAATAAAGTGAAAAAAATGACAACAATTACCGATTTTTAAATTTGTAATTTTTTTTGGATATTTCCCCCATTTGCGGGGAATGGGGGAAATTTTTTCAATTTTTAAGGGTAAATTCTTTAACTAGATACAATTTGTGATCTTTTGACGTATTGTTAAAAGAAATCGGTCCAGTGAGAGTTGAGAAAAAGTGGCAACAGACATAAAAAAAAAAACACATCATGATAAAATTAATACCTTCTCAACTTCGCATCGAAGCTAAAAAATTATTTTTAATGTCAAATTATATATAAATTAATTTAAATTTCCTTCATTACCATTGAATTGTTGTAGTTTATTTATTATATTTGTAAGGACAAAACAATTATATTATATATTAATTAATTTAAATTTTCTTCATTACCATTGTATTTTTTCAGTTTCTTTATTATATTTGTTGTTTTCTTGTCTTTAATTGCATCTAATTTTTCCAAGACATCTTTTATAAAATAAATCTGTGTTGAGTCTGGGAAAATTTGCTGAATAATTGGGTTTAATTCTTCAGGTATCGTATACCCCTTGGTGTTTGAAAAAAAAATATTAAACTATTTTTCAAGTAGAAATTTCTATTAAATGCAATTGTTTACTACAATTACAGTACTGAGATTTGACAGTTGCCTAACCCGTATTGAAGCTGAACTTATTTAAATACTGGCCAGTATTGAAAAATGTTAATATTTGATAGTTACGATAGAATAAAATACGAGTAGTGGTCATTACCGACCATCAACGAGCTCTTAGTTAATATCTGCTTAGAAATAATGTAATGGCAGAATAAAATTAAAAAGCTATAAATTACCTAGAAAATATTAATAGTACTTGACTGTAAAAACCTCAAAAATTTGTTTATATTAATTTGTGTAAGTTGCGAGTAGGAAAAGTTATATTTCACAAAATGAATCGCACTTAGCAACATTTCCCTACTAGCGTTAAAGCTTTTTGTGGTACACTTGTTACTCATATTACCTCGTTCTCTTACCCTGTTTTATCGTTCCTTGACGCCTTCTCGAGTCCGTCAGTGTTATTCAGAGCCCTGCGACCCTCCACACCACCTTTGACAACCATTTTACTACTACGTGTACATGGTAGTTTAACTGACCGACACCACGTGCGGTATAACGCCGTTGTTGTCGTTGTTAGTTATAAGTCTATATTTATTTGGTCACGAAACCACCAACTACCCTTTTATTGGGATATAAATTATATTTGCGTTGCCCGTTTACGTAAAGCTTAGCTAACTATTAGGACCCTAGCGGTAAAGCACGTTACAGTTTCATTAAGTTACATATCTTATTTTGAAATTTGTCAGCTATTAATTATTTTGTAGGATCATCCATTATAACTTTTAGAAGTGTAAAATTTATTTAATTAGATTATAATGTATTAAATAATCTAGTTAATTATTTAATATATAATGCTTAATTAAGAAAATTAATGGTTGATAATAACATTTGGAAAATTACTTTGAAAATTATTGACATTTTGTAGTGATAGCTGGTAGTGAAACGTGGGTGTTTTATTTTAATACATTTCTCGACTGTACTCTTCCTCCTGTCAAGGTATAAAAATAACAAAAAATTCCAAAGTACTCGTAAAATGTTGTTATCGACTAGAAATTTTCTTAATTATATCATTAAATATTAAATTAGCTAGTAAATTTGTATGCTGCCTTTAAAAATAAATAATGTTTTCACTCCTATAAGTTATAAGGGATTATTCTAAAAAGTTATTAATAAAAGATAAATAAATAAAAGCGGTAGCACAGTGGGGTCGAGGCACAGTGTAGACAAGGCATAGATGGGACAAGTATAGATGATATTTGACAGTGATTAAAGTCACTATCATAATAAACGCTTCGATGCAAATCTGTAGATATTGTTTCATTTAGAGAAATTGGTGGATTATTCCAAAAGCAACATCAACTATTATTTCTTTGATTATATCCTAATTCGTAGTTCTTTGATTTTAAAATATAATATATGAATAAATACTATTTATAATTATTAAATTTAGTATGAAATTGATATTCAATAATTTAATATTCTCATTTAAACGGAGAAATTATAAAAATAATAAAAAAGTTGTATTTTGCTTTATTTTTACGTGCATAAAAATTTAAAGGGCTTGATACAATAAATTTCAATAAAAACTGTTTGTTACTATAAATAAATGCACTGAATTACAAGGAACTTTCATCAGTAACAAAAATATTTCATTCTAAATCAACTTTTCGCGATGTTTTCAAATCTGCAATTAGACTTTTTCTATCACTTCTAAGTATTAATATTATTAAAAATTAGTATTTTCATATAAAAAATTCGCATAGAAGCTAAAAAATTGGCTATTTAAGCTAATTCAAATTTAAAAATTACTTTTTCCACTTTAAAAAAGTAAAAAAATTTAATAAGTTTAATTTCTTATGTCTTATGAACTTTATTCTATGTCAATTAAATTATATAATATTCATGAAAGTCAATATATTCTCCTAATAAGATATTTTAAAATACAAAACCTAGAATTTTAATAGAAAAATAGCATATTTTTGAATACGGTAGCCATTTGCGCATAGAAGATAGGTCGTCGGGACAAATTTTTTTTTTTCATTTTATAGCACATAAAATAAGCTTTAATTTTATATATGTTTAAAAGACGCAGTATTTCCGGAACATTTTCAAAAATTAAGTTGAAAAAGTAAGTTTTTGTAAAAAAGTTGCTATTTTAAATCCCCCCCCAGTGAGCAGGTTAAGTGTTAGATTTTCAAAAAAATGATATCAAACGAAAGGGAAATATCTAAGGTTTTAGTATAAAAAAAAGTTATGTTGATTTGTTTATTTTTGAAAAAGTTGTAGAAGTTTTAAGAAAAAAAGTGAAAAAAATGACAAAATTTACCGACTTTTAAATTTTTAATTTTTGTTGAGATTTCCCGCATTTGAGGGGGACGAGGGAAAAATTTTCAATTTTTAAGGGTAATGTCTTCGACTAGATACGATTTGTGATCCTTTTACGTATCGTTGAAAGAAATTCATTCGGTGAGAGCGGAGAAAAAATGTTAACAGACACAAAAAAAAAACATGTAATAGTAAAACCAATACCTTCTAAGCTTCGCATCGAAGCTAATATATGTAACTAAAAAATGTTTTTTTTTCAATATTGAACCTTTTTTGCGAGGAATAATCGAATGATTTATAATGAACCGATCATTTCGTATACGTTGAAGTAACACTTTACTATACGGACCCAGCCGTTTTTCCACAGAACAAACACTAATTCGTTGGGCCCACCTATTGGTCAAACCACCATTTTTTAAACGACTCTCACAGTTAAGACAATCGTACAACTTAGTGGGTTCTTTTGTATGTCGTAATATTCCCAATGCTTTGCATTACGTCAGACCATTTCCCTATATACGGGGGGGCTTCAAATCTAAAAATTTCATATAGAAAGTAAAACTTTTGCAACTTAACTTTTGAAAGAGTTCCGGAAGGTCTGACACTTTTACATATATCTTAAATTAAAGGTAATGTAATATGTTTTATTATGGAAAAAAAAAAATTTGACCTCTGGACTTGTCTTCGTGGTGATTCTGATAAATAATATTTTTTAATAATCCATTTTTCATTTGACATACTTTAGCTTAATCAGGATATTAATAAGGAACTAGCAGATCATGTAACTTTTCGAATAAACCATCAATTTTTTAAATTTAAACATTATCTAAAGATTTGCATCGAAGCGTTTTTTTTTTGATAGTGATTATAATCAATGTCAGATATCATTATACTTGATCTAACTATGCACGTCACCATTGTGCCACGACCCCCCTGTTTTTTTTTTGTTCTGCTGCGTAATGGGCCATTAATTTTACTATGATGTGTTTTTTTTTTTTTTTATGTCTGTTGCCACTTTTTCTCAGCTCTCACTGGACCGATTTCTTTCAACAATACGTCAAAAGATCACAAATCGTATATTGTTGAAGATATTACCCTTAAAAATTGAAAAAATTTCCCTCGTTCCCCGCAAATGCGGGAAATCTCCAAAAAAATTACAAATTAAAAAATCGGTAAATTTTGTCATTTTTTTCACTTTTTTTTCTTAAAACTTACATAACTTTTTCAAAAATCAACAAATTAACATAATTTTTTTTATACTAAGACCTTAGATATTTTTTTCTCGTTTGATATCATTTTTTTGAAAATCTAACACTTAACCTGCTCACTAGGGGGGATTTAAAATAGCAACTTTTTTACGAAAACTAACTTTTTCAACTTAATTTTTGAAAATGTTTCGGATATACTGCGTCCTTTAAAAATATATCAAATTAAAGCTTATTTTATGTACTACAAAATGAAAAAAAAAAATTTGTCCTGACATTTATCTTCTGCATGTAAACGGCTGCCGTAGTTCAAAAAACGCTATTTTTGTGTTAAAATTTTCGATTTTAAATTTTCAACTTAAAAATGCTATAACTTTTCGAAAAATGTAATTATCAGCACAAATTTTTTTTCTAAATACATTATAAGTACATCTTTCATTTGACATACTTTTTATTAAAAGTGGACCATTTCCCCATATATAGGGTGCGTTCAAAACTTGAAATATTGTATAAAAAATAGAACTTTTTCATCTTAACTTTTAAAAGTGTTCCGGAAATACTGCGTCCTTTAAACATATATAAAATTAAAGCTTATTTCATGTTCTATAAAATGAAAAAAAAAAATTGTCTCGACGACATATCTACTATGTGCAAATTGCTGTCAAAATTTAAAAAAAAATGTAATATTTGCGATAAAAATCACATTCTATAAGGATGTTTTTGTACTTAAAACTGCCATAACTTTTTCAAATATTAACATATCAACATAATATTTTTTTATATTGATACCTTAGGTAATTTCCTATTGTTTGATATCATTTTTTTTTGAAAATCTAACACTTATTCTGCTCACAAGGGGGATATAAAATAGCAACTTGTTTACAAAAACTAACTTTTTCAACTTAATTTTTGAAAATGTTCCATAAATACTGCGTCCTTTAAACATATATCAAATTAAAGCTTATTTTATGTACTATAAAATGAAAAAAAAAATTTGTCCCGACGACCTATCTTCTATGCGCAAATGGCTACCGTATTCAAAAATATGCTATTTTTCTATTAAAATTCTAGGTTTTGTATTTTATTTTATTTTAAAATATCTTATTAGGAGAATATATTGACTTTCATGAATATTATATAATTTAATTGACATAAAATAAAGGTCATAAGACATAAGAAATTAAACTTATTAAATTTTTTTTACTTTTTTATTTTCATACTAAATTTAATAATTATAATTAGTATTTATTCATATATTATATTTTAAAATCAAAGAACTACTAATTAGGATATAATCAAAGATATAAGAGTTGATGTTGCTTTTAGAATAATCTACCAATTTCTCTAAATTAAACACTATCTACAGATTTGCATCGAAGCGTTTTTTTTTTTATAGTAATTTTAATCACTGTCAGATATCATTATACTTGATCTAACTATGCACGTCACCATTGTCGCGACTCCTGTGTGCTAGGTTTTTTTTATATGAATCAGTTTCAAATCTTTTCTTAACTCAGGTTAGAGTTTTCATTGATTTTCATAAAAAGTATACCAAAGAAAAGCTTAATTTTTCTAAAATATCTTATTAATATTAAATTACAATCATTATTAAAAAAAAAAATAGTATTAGTTTACAAATGCAATTTAAATGGTTTGTGTAATTTTAGGATATTTTTCTAAATTTCTAAAATTTATATGGAGATATGGATTAAATTCAAGTACTATTGAGACATAAACCGACAAAATCAGTATATACGTTAATGTACATTCCGAATAATTCGAACCACAGCTGTCACAAATTAAGCAAATTTTAATAGTATGGTTTACAGATTAGTTAATATTCTGATGAATAAAATAGATTTTAATTAAGAACTGGAGGTTATAATAGGAATAGCCAGTTTAATTGGTATATCGAAAACGTGAAAACGTGAAATTAGTAAATTTATTTTTTAACACAAAAGTGGAATAAATGAGAAGTGCAGCTAGTACACTCACTAACATGCGGAACAAAAAGTAATAAGATCGTCCATTTTATATTATCCAGGTATTTAAAATAGACTAGCTTAAATTTTTTTAAGAATTATGGTATTACCATAGTAACATCTAAAAATAATAAATTAAGAGATTTATTCCGTAATTCTACAGTTTAAGTAGAAGAAGGGGGAAATCGGGAATTTATCATTTACAATGTGAAAGTTGTAATAAATGTGACGTAGGACATACAAAAAAAAAATATAGAGGTCAGTTTTAATGAATACTTAAGAAATATCAAAAATCAAGAAGTTTATAAATCACCTGTGAATGAACACTTATTGTTACATAACACTCCATTAAAACCATACAATTAATTTAAATCGTAAATAATTACAGAAAACTTTCCATGAGGGAGTCAATATAAATGTATAAAAAGAAAAACAATTTTGTTAATTGAGACTGAAATATTCATTATTAAAGTCGTGTAAACTGTTAAATATGATAATATTACTTTGTGATGACGTCACTATATGACAAGATCATTAAGAGTATAAAAGGGGTGTTATTGCTTTCGTTGTTTCAATGTATGTTTAGTGTTGATAATGATAACATTGTTTCCAAAATACGTATCCCTCGATGTTATGTAATTTTTTTTGATTTTTCAAAATATACAATATTTTTAATTTTTAAATAAATATGTTTAATATAATATTGATTTTGAATAATATTGGCCACAAGTAATCAATTGTAATTGTAAAATTTTATTGTTAATTATGAAATAGTTAGGAGACCTTAAAATGATAAAGTGGTGAAAATTTTAAATCTTAAGTTTAAATATATAGTTTGCTGGGGTTATTTTTAACTAATATTTATATGTATTTATATTTTTAATTTTTATTGTAAAAAAACGTACGTGTGAAGTAAATAAAATGGTTGCTTAGCAATTTTAGATGGTTTATTATGGATGTCTCCCGGTTTTTCTTATGAATTTTTAATCCAGAAAAAGTAGATTTTTTTTAAATAGTTATATTTAATCAAATTATTATGTTTTGTTTAACACATCAAATCAACATAATAATAGTTACCTCATCATTACTTATTTCTGGAATAGAAATTACATTATTCAGTTTGAATACAGCTTCTCTAATCTGATAAAAAAAATATAATATCATTATAATTCTTTATTTATAACGTTAAAATTGTATACAACTGGTTATAATCGTTAGAGAAATTTTATTCTTGAAGCATTATATTAAAAAATGAATCTTTTAATAGTTCGTAAATTGTATATAAATACTAATATTTTATACATATTTAAATAATTTTAATATTTTTGACTTACTAATGTTTATCTATGAATTTATACAGTTAATTTTACTATAAAACTTACCTCTATTTTGTCTCTTTTTTTTTGTTGTTCTGCACTAAGTTCCAATATTGTGCAGTAATTAAGTATTTTAGCAATATAACTATCAGCCTAATATATAAAATATTCTTATAATAATACATTTTGTAATACAATATAAAAAAAAAAATAAAGCGAAATTTACTATATCTTCATTCATTGGTTTGCATAACGAAGAAACAACACAAACAAACATAAAAATACAGTAAATTTGCCAACGCATTTTACAATTTCTTATAATTTTTTGATGAAATAAAAAATAGATTTCGGTATTGTAAAGTATATAGTACAAAGTATCTTAATTTTAGTGTGTTAACTTAATTTTGAAAAAAAATTAAGTAAAATATGGGTTTATATGCTAGAAAATCGAAAAAATATTGTTTAGTTTTCGTATTTGATACATACAAATTTATTTTGAACAGATGACGTTATAATTTATAAATATAAATAACTAATTTTATTGACATTATAGTTTAAATATTGTAAGTGGTCTTTAACATACTATAGGCCGTGTCTAGTTTCAAAAACAGGAATAAAATACATGCGAGTAGTACTTGAGCTACTAGAGAAAAAAAATAATTATTACAGTTAATATTGATAAAGAAATATAATTTAATTGTTAAATATAAAATTAATGAGTATGAAAAAATACCAATGTATCAAATTGTAATAAATATTTAGCACTTCTAGTTTTATTTTATTTATATTTTTATATTGATGATTTTTCTAATAAACCACATTATCATGGGAGATGATAGATATAACAACAATACCCGTATGAAACATTAACTCAAAGTAGTAGAATAATAGGTTGCGCGCGTGTCCCTTTAAGTTTAAGTGACTAGCCAATAAGTAGCATATTTGAATTAAAATCTAAAACATCAATACTACCCCTAAAATACCTAAAAAGAGCGATTTCTAGCTCATTTGTCACCTTATTTTTTCAAAAAAATTGGTCATGAAGCAACTCTGCACCAGACTGTTTCGCAATTGTGCTCTCTCGGACTTAGAAATTTTTTTCACTTGGTGTTTCTCAAAAGTAATTGAATTAAAAAAAAAATTTAATTAATCTTTTTATTTTTAGTTTTAAATATTTAAGAGTTAATAAGAAAACTATTTTTTTTTGTAATTTTATGAATATCAAATACACTATTCTATAAAATTCTGATAGTTTATTGAAGTCATTTCCCTAGCACATCAAGTCTTTGAAATTATTGGTAAAACAATAATTTGTGACACGTCACTAGGGATTCGTTCTCATAATCTATCTGGTTCTATAAATTTTCATTTTGAAGTATAAAAGAACATATATATTCAAATACTAAGTGTAGAAAGGAATTTTAGTGAAGTAATATTTCTAGTTTAACAATTTTTATAAGATTATAAAATAAATAAGTAGATTAAAGTCAGTGCTCTTATTATATATCTCTTTTTTATACAATAAACGATCAAGCTAGCTGGACACAAAGTAAGAAATTTTATTTCTAAGCATGTCGTAAAAAAAAATTAAAGATAGATTTAAAATAAGTCAAGAATAATATTTATCAAGGGAATAATAGAATTGCTTTTAAAATATCATTTAAAAAAACTTATTGTTAGCAACTATTTTATCATCAATCTAATCCCAACAGTATGTGTTTAATGTAAATGTTTCACTTGTATTTAACATCCATATAAAAAAAAATAATTCAGCCATTAAAACTGGGCGCCCAAAAATCGAACAGTTGCATTTTACGTGAGCACACATTGTTTCCTATATATACTACAATCAATAAAATATTAAGAGTCGTAAAATTCTCCCTCAAGACCATTGTACATTTCATAGTAGAATTAATATTACTTAGGCTAGTGTCATCCGTGTGTAATTTCCCTTCACTTTACATNGCCCAACAATCGAACAGTTGCATTTTACGTAAGCACACATTGTTTCCTATATATACTACAATCAATAAAATATTAAGAGTCGTAAAATTCTCCCCCAAGACCATTGTACATTTCATAGTAGAATTAATATTACTTAGGCTAGTGTCATCCGTGTGTAATTTCCCTTCACTTTACATTTTATCACAAACCATATGTAGTCATTTTATTTTGACAAAAGATTCATGATCATATACCGTATACTTTTATTTTCACTTTATAGCTAAACAAATTCAAACAATTCATTGATTCTATCTTATTCCTATCGCTCACACTTGTATTCACTTTTTTATGATAAAAGCATTATCTAATGTTCCCAATATAATATTTATAATATAATACTCCCTTCTTCTTATTAATTAAATTTTTAATCATCTCTTTTTTTTATGACAAAATTATGTATACAAATAAAGGCCGACAATAATAATAAACGGAACAAATGCAAAAAATAAAACTCACTTAAGACAAACAAAAAATATAAACTTCACTAATAAAAAATTAACACATCTAAATAATATACTAAGACTCATTTATATTGCTCAATAAGAATAATTTTATATTCTTTCATTTAGCTTTCAGTTTACTTTCATTAGAAAGATTGTACCCTATTTTATTTTTGCTAGTGATGGTTGTTGGCAACATTTTTATCTTCCTATTTACTACCCTAACTTACAAACGGATAAAAATATTCTTATATTTCGTACCCCTATTGCTTGTATCTCAAATTTATACTAACCCCAAAACTAATACGAGTAACAATAACATTGGTTATTGGTAATTGACCAGTTAAAATTTTACATAGTATCTGAGAAAGAATGATTTTAATGAAAAAATTACAATTTTTTGTAGTCCATAAAAAAAATTAAATTATTATGATTACGTTATGTATAACACATAGTCTATATCACATATCCAATAGTTCGACAGGGGAGCACCACGCACACACAAAGGAATTAACACAAAAATAATGTTATAAACGTCTATTATGAGGTACGTCCAGAAAGTAAGTTCCGTTTTCTATTTTTATCGCGTTTGTGATGTTATCTTAATTACGGTCATATCCGATTATTTCATTTACTTATTTGAAACATTTTAAAACCATTCCGTGACTAGTTAGAGTACGTACGTCACGTGGCGAGCGTTTTAAAATGGATAAACGAGTAGAAAATTCCGCCATATGTGAGTTACGATCTGTAATTCGTTTTTTAAATGCAAAGAATATCAAACCAGTTGATATTCATCGTCAAATTTGTGAAGTTTATGATGAAAATGCTATGAGTGATTCAATGGTTAGGAAATGGGTGCGACGACGAGGCATGCTTAGCCGTGGCATTGTTTTTCATCCACGACAATGCCCGACCGCACACAGCAAATGTGACAAAACAACTTCTTGCAGATTTTGCATGGGAACAATTTAATCATCCACCCTACAGTCCAGATTTAGCACCCAGTGATTTTCATCTTTTTTTACACATGAAATTATTTATGGGTGGCCAGAACTTTAACGAAGATGATGAGATGATAAAGGCTGTTAGCGCATGGTTACAATCATAGGCGTCATCTTTCTATGATGAAGGGAAACAAAAACTAGTACCTCGATATGATAAGTGCTTCAATAATGGTGGTAACTTAGTTGAAAAATAAAGTTGTACTTGTATTTTATATTCAAATAAAATTTATATTAAAATTTACACATTTACATGTTTTTATTGCCCAACGGAACTTACTTTCTGGATGTAACTCGTATATTAAATTTAATCAAGGGTGACCACCCGTTTTTTATGTAAACATTACAGTATTTTTACAGTGAATTCTTCTTCTTCTTCCTTGCCTTAATCCAAACTACTTGGGGTCGGACACACTTATCCCAAACTTCCACTTGACACGATCTCCCACATCATCTACGCTCACATCAGCTGTCTTCAAATCACATTCAATAATATCTCTCCATCTTTCTTTTTTATTCTTCTACCTCTTCTTCTTTCAAAACTAATTTCCATAACTGTTCTTATAGCTTTCGATTCTTCTCTCTTCATAACATGACCAAACCAGCTAAGTCTATTTTTCTCACTTTATCTACAATAGATGCTACATCCATACTCCCACTTATCTGTTCGTTCTCTATCCTGTCTTCTCTAGTCACTCCACTCATCCATCTAAGCATTCTCATTTCTGCTACACCAATTCTCTGCTCTACTTTATTATCAATGGCCCAACACTCTGAAACATACATCATAGCTGGTCTCACTACAGTCTTGTAGAATTTACCTTTCAGCCTCATTGGAATTCTTTTATCGCATAAGACTCCAGACATTTCTCTCCACTTCAACCACCCGCACTTAATTCTGTGTCTTACATCTCGTCAATACCACCACTCTTTTGCACAACTGACCCTAAATACTTAAAACTCTCTACTTCTCCAATCAAGTTCTCGCCTATTGTAACTAACCTCCTCATTTCACCTACCTCGTGTTCTCCTTTATCAAACTCTTACTCTATATACTCTGTCTTACTTCTACTTATTTTTAAACCCTTTTCTTCAAAAACTGATCTCCACACATCTAGCCTTAGGTTAATTTCCCCCCTACTTTTTCTTAAGTAAAACAATATCGTCAGCAAATAACATGCACACGGCACTTCTTCTCATATTTCTCTAGTAATTTCATCCATCACTATAGAGTATAAGTAAGGGCTTAAAGCAAAACTTTGGTGCACTCTTACTCTTACCGGAAAACCTTTAATATTAATATTTGATATTTAATGTTATTTAATATTAATGCTTACTTTAAAACCTCTCTCGGTACTCTGTCATACGCTTTCTCCAAATCTATAAATATCATACACAGCTTTTTATTTTCACAGTGAATACAGCATAAAAAACAGTATATATATACAGGGTAATTTTTTTATCATAACCCACTCAATTACTTGCAGAATAATAATAATTAAAACATTTTTTTTTTTTATTATCTTTAGTTACATATTATTCTTCAATTTTTAACTATGTAATACTTTTTAAGTTCATCCCTTATGCGTTGTAAGGGGGTCAACTTTGTTTTTTTAAATGGTAACACATATTTTTATGTAATTTTTCTTTCTTTAAAAATATAGTGACTCGATTGAAATTATAGTTAATTAAAAAAAAGTATGCGTCTATTACATATTTTTTGATCTACGTATATTAAATTATTGTAAATATATAAGGATTTACAAGTTATTTAAATGTCTTACTATAGTCCATTTTTTCAAGACTTTTTATATTTAAATGAGCAATGCAATTATGAAATGCATATTGAGCTTGTGGTAAATTTGTAGATGATAAATAATTGATAACTTGATCATGATTTATTTCTGCTGATGTGGACAGTATTAGTCCCTAAAAAAAAAAATAGCAGTTTGTATTGTGCGTAATCGAGA